CTGGTCCCAGTTTTGTTGGGAAAAAGAAAAGTTCAGGAGACAATTCAAGAAAGGATACTAGCATACTTTACCTGATCCAGCATCTGAAATAATCTTCAGCTTCAATGATACAGACACTGTCTGAGACTCTCTACTCTCTTCCTACAAAGGAAGTCTGTGAACCTTATAATGGATAGAGGCAGTCTTGTGTTGCAAGAAATTTGCTTATGTATTCAGACTAAAGATGTATTGCTTTTTATGGTATTCCTTGTTCCAGCAAATCTTGAGGCCATTCAGGGTAAAAATGAGCATCTCGGAGCCTGCTTCAGTATCTCTTGTTTCTTCCCAGTTACTTTCTAGAACAGCCTGCAGACTATATTGCTTTGATACTGAGCTTCCCTCCACCTCTGGGGCTGATAAAGGTATAGCCCAATATGGATTTTGGAATGAATATATATAAAAATAATAATGTATTTATTATTATTTATTTGATTTATTTGATTTATATCCCGCCCATCTGGTCTGGTCGACCATTCTGGGCGGCTCTCATAAAGATACCCACAAGCAATAATCTCTCATAAAGATACCCACAAGCAAATCTGACACTGGAACTGGACTAAATTATCATCAGCACACAGGTATAGAAATATATCTCAGTGAATATCCAGTTGTGCTTATTTTACCAAAGTGAATACTGTTATTCTTATATTTAAGGTCCTAGGCTGTCCCCTAGTGCACATCATTGAAATTTTACTTTGCAATTTCATGTAAAGAAGAATCCTCCATTGTATTTCCATAAATGGTAGGACCAATTAAATGGAATATAAGGTTAACAATATTCCCATTCCATTTCTGTAAATTTTCAGGGTGAACATTTGGGAAATTTGCAGCAAAACTGCTATCAACAGTGCCAGATTTCATGTTGCTTTTTTGTATAGTATAGTTTATTTTTATTTAAATAAAATTGTTTTTTAAGAGAGAGGAAAAAAGAGAGAGATAGAGAGAGAATCACTTTAAAGCCATTTTTTGTCCATAATATCCCAGCATCAAGGATGGGAATCACATAGTCCTTCGGCTATATGACCCCAACCCTATGTGCATTCCTAGGCCAAACCCACTGAAACATTTGAGGGAGGAGAAACAGAGAACAGAGGCAATTCTTGTCTAAAATAAATGGCAGCAGCCACGCATGCCTGTTCTTCCCCCCAAAAAAGTGTTTTCAGTAAAGCAGAAGAGGACTGCCGGTTTTCCACTTTTATTTGGAAATTAATACAAGTCAAAGAGAGAGGAAAACAGTCCCTGCCCCATCTCCTCTACAGCAGTAACCAGGTAGGATCTATCGACAAGTAAGGTAATAGTCATCTACACCTACAAGAAGTTCACCCAACTGAAACGTGCACAACAGAGAAGTTGGGTTGCATATTACAGTACACCCTTAGATTCATGTTGGAAAGGGAAGATCTGGACTGACTTGGCAAGTGGGACATGGTGGTGCTGTGGGTTAAACTGCAGAAGCCTGTGCTGCAGGGTCAGACGACCAGCAGTCGTAAGATCGAATCCACGCAACCGAGTGAGCTCCTGTCGCTTTGTCCCAGCTCCTCGCCAACCGAGCAGTTCGAAACCATGTAAATAAGAATAGATAAATAGGTACCACCTCGGTGGGAAGGTAAAACGGCGTTCCCTAGTCACGCTGGCCATGTCACACTGGCTTTATGGCTTGAAAAACGGGATGAGCAGTGCCCCCTAGACTCGGACACGACTGGACTAAAAATGTCAAGGGGAACCTTTACCTTTATCATATGGTATAGTGGCAATATGACATGGCTCAGAACTAGAGAAGCCTACACTTGATTAAAACCATGTTTGCTTGGGCCAGGTTGAGCCCTATCCACATCTATTCCTACATGACAAGTATCACCTTGCCACCATTTGGAGGGGTTCTTTGACAATTTTCAGTTGCCTCAATCATTCCAGCAGGGATAGAACTAACATCAAACATTGTAAGATTTAAAGCATCATTTTTATCTCACTAAATTAAGTTGTCTAAAATCCCACATGGCAATTCATACCTAATCATGTTTGAGGAAATGACACATTTGTGGACTGAAACACAACTAACTCAAAAGCTTTATGCAGTTGGAATATGCTTGGTTTTGCCTGCTGATGGAGGGTTACATCTAAATATGCCTGCTTGGCTGTATCAACTTGAATTACTTATTTAAAAAAATCAGTTACACTGTGGTTCCAATCATAAAGAAATCAAAGCACCTATTTTAAAAGAGCTGGCACTCAGTCACTTGAAATATGATCCTTGGACTAGAAAGCCAACTATATTATTGAGGAAGCACAGAAAGGAACAACTATGAATGGAAAAGACTAAAATTAATTTACCTGAATAAACAGTTGGTGTTCCTGTAAGGTTTGCACTGAATGCCAGCAATGTTGTATCACCTAAGCCACAAGCCAACAACTCTCCATCTCCTAGAATAAGTACAGGGGGAAAATCTATAGTTATATAAACACACATATGGTAATACTGACATAAGAAAGAAAAAGAGAAACATCTGCGACAAGATCTTTAGACAAGTGTTAGAAAGTCTTCAGGCTTAGTTTTGAGTAGACACCACCAGCCACAGCCTGATGCAAAAGACAGACACGTAGAATTTATTGTTCCGTTCCTGGTTTGGTTACCCCACACTTTCTTCCCTTTCACTTTATTCTGTCAATGCTATTTTTAAATAAGTGGGAGCTATAAATGCTTATAGCAAATCCACTGTGACTCATGCAGAGACCTATAGTAGGTCATGTTTACCCCTGCTTTAGCAGTGGAGAGTTTGCATCCATTGTTTTCGTTAATGTGAAAAGCTGAAGAAGAAAGAAAACAGAAATAACGCTACTTAATTCGAAATATTTTGCCTTAGGAAAATTATTTTCCTTTGCTTGCTCAGGCTGCATTCTTATACCAGTTGTTTTGTTAGGTACTGTCACACTGCATCTGACTTACAGCAACTTTCATAGAGTTTTTGAAGTACATGAGGTATTTAAGGAATTATTTCACTATTGTCACCCTCCAGTGAATTTCAATAACAAAACAGAGATTCAAACACAGCTCTCCTGAGTCCTAGTCTGTCACTCTGTCCACTACACCATGCTGGGAGTAAGGTCCACTCAACTCACTGGACTTTCAAGTAGGCATGCACAGGATTACTCAGTCAGGGCATCTCCAGATGGTGCAGGCTGGAGTGGTCTAAATAAGATCAGTTGAGGTGGGAGGTAGGGTCCATATGCCTTTTGGTGCAACCCTTGCATCTAAATGGCATATTGAACTCAAGCGACCCTATTTTAGGTATCCTGAAGTGGCATATCTGTGCAGAGCTGGAGTCTGGGAGAAAGGAAAGTGGGGTGCATTCAAGTACAACTGGGAAAAGCAGGCAGCAGAGGGAGAGAAAGAAAGGCAAGCTATGCATGGCAGTGCAAGGGGATAAAAAACAGTTGATTGCTGTCCAAAAGCGACAGACACCTATCTATCCTTTACATTCCTTTTTAGCTACACTATGTTTGGAGGGTGGCAGAGAGAAAGGAACAGGAGGAACAGGGCATACAGAAAAGGTGGTTGTGCAATATTCCACCACGGATAAAAAATAATTGATTGCTGTCCAAAAGCGACAGACACCTATCTATCCTTTACATTCCTTTTTGGCTACACTATGTTTGGAGGGCAGGAGAGAGGAAGGAGGCAGCAGAGAGAAAGGAACAGGAGGAACAGGGCATACAGAAAAGGTGGTTGTGCAATATTCCACCACCCACCTTGATCTTACCAGTGGATACAAAAGAGAGGGACCCTCCTTTGCACCTTCACACGCGCGCGCGCGCGCACACACGCACGCACACACACACACACACACACACACACACACACACACAGAAGAAGTGACAGGGATTGCTTGGAGGGTGCAAAGTAGAATAACTGCAAAGGATAGGTATTAACCTGAAAAACACCTCCCCAACAGAGGATATCTGTGTTCATGTAAAATAAAAACCTTTGTTTGCACTTTGTCTTCCAAACATGCTTGCCTTTTATGCAACAGATAAAAATCCAATGAAAAAAAGAGGAGGGGGGAACAAACATGTTTTTCTTTGCCTTTTCAATTTGCAAGGCTTTTGTTAAGCTGTAGGTGTGCAGCCCCCACCCCTCAGACATGCTCACTTGTTCACTCTGTCTTCCAGCAAAAGATCTGTTATAGAATCAATGGGGAACACTGAGAGAGGAAAAAATGCTAGGCCATTCCTGGTGTGCTGAATCACTATAGAATCAATGGGGAACACTGAGAGAGGGAAAAATGCTAGACCATTCCTGATGTGCTGAATCACTTAGATTAAAGAGAGAGAGAATGATTTGGCTTGTGTGTAGTGCTAACTGAGAAGCTGTATGCAGCTGCAATTTTGATTGACATTGCATACAAAGACAAAGGGGAAAAAAACTTTCTAAATTTAATCTAAGTGATTCAGTGCATCAGCCATGGTCTAGCAGATGCAAAAATAATAATTATTATTTCACTTCCCTTGCCCCTCTGCAGAGAAGCAAGGGAGGGGTTCAATTTGCCAATATCCTGAAGCAGCTCATTTAATAAGCCACTTCACAATACCAAAAATTCAAACCAGAAGAAGCCTTGGCAGTTTTGATAGCTGCAAAGCTTAATTTTAGTCTGTTCCCAGTAATCACATACACTGGCAACAGACTGAACTAGAGTGCACCAACCTGCATCAAAAAAAGTAGAAGTTTCTGATAGGGGTTCAAAGAGGTATGAGTTGGGGTGTTCTAGGGACTGTATTTCTCCGTGTATGAGACGCTACTTTTTCCTAAAATCACTACACTAAAAATTGAAGGGCATCTTTTACACAGAAGTAAGCTGAGATAGCTGAGGAGAGACCAAAACGGCCTGTACCTTGCCTCTGTAAACAAGTTTCTTTCAGTCAGGAGGCTTTGCTTCCTACAGTCAGGAGACTTCACTTCCTCCAATCACGAGCTTTATGGAACTGATATGAGCTGATGCTGTACAAAACAATTGGAACACAGCTCCTTGGAGCCTGTAGGCTCAGATTCAACAAGGACTCCTAATGTCCGAGCGTTCTGAGCCCAGAAGCTGAATATTCAAAGTTAAGTATTCTTAATTTTGGGGTTAAAAAAGTGGGGGCATCTTCTAAACGGGGGCATGTTATAAATGGAAAAATACGGTAAATATTGCAATGCTAGAGAAATATAACTTTTAGTACCTGAATATTGAATACAGCATACAGAAGTTGATTTATCAGTTACATTAACCTGCCTCTGGAATTTGTTTGGAAGAGAGTGTGCAAGTGGATATTCTTCTTTATTTCTTCATCAAGGGTAAATTAAAATAGAGAGAAATGAAAGGTATAAAAGAACAAATTATGATACATGCAAAAAATTGTTAGAGATAAAGCAAATTTCATTTTTCCCATATCGATATCCAGGTGTACTACAAGATACATAATGCCTTAGAAATTTCAAAAGCTCTCTTTTCTTTATCTTTCTTTGCAGCTATGTGATAATGACAATATTGCTTGGGTATCATAAACCTTGAATAAGTTGGTGACTCTGGCTCCAATGAGTGGGGTCCGCAGCTTGGACCCGACGCTCACCATGGAAATGCAGGTGGCGTCGGTAGTCCGCATTGCCTTTTTCCACCTTTGGCGGATAGCCCAGCTGCGGCCCTACCTTGACACGGGGGCGCTCACTACCTTGGTGCATGCGCTCGTAATCTCAAGATTAGATCACTGTAGTGTGCTCTACGTGGGGCTGCCTTTGAGGCTGATGCGGAAACTTCAGATGGTGCAGAATGCAGCGGCCAGACTCCTTACTGGAGTGAGAAAACACCAGCACATTTCTCCTATTCTGGCCA